GATGAGTTGTGACTAAATTTAAGGGAATGTCACTTTAAAAGCTGCATTTTATGGCCCCTGCTCTCATCCAATTAAATTGATGGTGGAACTGCCACCTATAATATTAGGCCAGGCACAGACCTGCCACTCCCATCAGTCATTTTCTGGTAGGCCCTTATGAGAGTGGCAGATGAACCTGCCTGACCTTAAATCTGACCAACCCACTATTGATGGAGCATGGAAAGAGCATTGATATGAGGCAGGAGGAAGAGTCGTGTCGGCACGACCGTAATTAATGTTTTCATGAACATCAACGCATTTTGAGATGAAAGAGGGGAGGTCCCGACTGGGAAAGGCGATAGGCCTATTTTTCCAGTTTTCCCCCTCTTTGCCACAAGCAAAAATATTTACATTCGTGACTGTAGAGAGAGAGAGAATGGAAAGGCAGGCTGTGCTTGGACTAAACATGGCGCCTATTTGAGCTGTCGTCACTACCCGGTGCTTTGCATCTATATACCTTGCCTTATAACACCGTATTTATGACCATCGATGCTTAGAGCCACCAGTAAGTACCACAACTTAATGTATACCAGGGACATTCGTCACCATGATCTCAGCGTGCCTCACTTAAAGTAAGAACGATGTAACTTAAGGAGCTCATTTCCGGCTGACTATACGGATTTAACAACGATGTATTCTTTGTGAGACACATTTTAAGCTTCGCATAAAACATGAATTCGACGACGAAGACACAGAGGGCAGTATGTCATTATAATGGCGAGGTCCGTAAAGTGAACCGGAATTCCGTCCAAATTCGTGCACGGGTCGACTTTCGTGTACTTACGTTATATGGGCCACTATCATCATGATCTTTGTCTTGCTGCCCTCCTTGATATTGCTTGAGGCTCTCTTTGAGGGATTCAGTCACAAGAGGTTTCTTTCTACTACATGGAGTTGATTGTGGCTGATTCTCAAGACTCTTCCTGGTGAGGATTTTCTCAGAGGATGATGAATTTTCCATTCTCTCAGGACTTTCAAGCAGCACTGCGCGATGCACAAGAATTCCTTCACTTTCAATGGCTTGTTGGACACTATCAACTTGATTGAACTGGTTCAGATTCTCATCCAGAGTTGGGGGAGGATTGGCATTCAAGTCTACACCATCCAAAGCAATGTTGGCATTGAGTTGGTCCTCCTGGATGACCTGTGGAGCAATACTAACTTCACTTGGGTCACATGGGTTTGCATTTTCATCTGATGCAGACAAGTCTGCAAGATGGTCCTGTAGACCTCTTGTATGAACAGTGATGTGGGCCAGATGCAATTCTGCCTTCTGCTGTTGTTCCACAGCTTCAGTGCTTAGCCTCTCAGAAATGAATAAACATGATCAGGCCTTGAATAGATTGTTTCCAAGATTGTGAATCTGAAGAGCATTAAAGCCAGGAGAATGAAAGTTCTTCCTGAGGATGTACTATTCTAGGAACCTCAATTTTCAGGGTTTATTTTTTGGAGAGATTCAATTTATGTGGACATCACTGTGCCAAAAGTATTTCATTGTTGGTTCTTTAAAATATTTTTGATGTGTTACAGATGCTTAGATGATGCTTAGAAGTGTACTATAAAGAGATGAATATTCCTTGACATCTGTGGCCTTGGGAAAATATTTATGTTCTACTGGGCTTGAAAGATGACCAGTGCGGTGTATGAATTGCTATCGCAGCTATGCAGGCAGAGTGTTGCAGAAAGACACCAGTTCAGGCCTCTGGTGTTTCACAGCCTCCTCACTCACAGAGGTAAGCTCTCCAAGACTTCTGTATGGCTCTGAAACCTTGAGACTGGGATTCATTAGTCTTCTCTTTTACAGGTGGTGGAATAGAAGAAGAACCATCAGATGCCCATATCCAAGCCATGGCTTATGGTAAGGCATGAGAATACACATTGATGGGTGACCCTCAAGGCAAGAAACTTTGGAGTTGGCTTCTGCATTTGAGGAGCAGCCTGGGGGAGCCAAAACAAAGATTCTTCATTTTCTTCTTTTATTATCTCAGCCTGTCCCTGTAGACAAATACCTTCTCATCCAGGCAAAGAAATCTATTGGGGATCAATATCTCCTGTTCAATCAGATATGATTGAATTTTTTATCCTTTTATTCAACAGTGTTGGCCATTGGTAAATGTTCAAGCATGAGCCTACTTGGGGTCCCAATTCCTATGACAACACTACGGATTCCTCGCTTAGGCCCTGTTCCAAGGAACCTCCCTTTGCATCAAAGGAAACCTTTTGGTTTTTTTAGCTGTGGCCAAGAGGTGAGATACATTTAATGTTACTCTGGATGTTTTGTTTTATCCTATATTGTCTCTATCCTTGATTTCTTTGATGAAGGTCACAGCTCATTCAAATGAACATAAAGCAACAGTAGAGAACCAAGAAGAAACTGTATCGAGGGTGAAAAGCATCTGTTGACTGAATGCCCTGATGTTGAAGTTCAGAGTCTGAGGGCTTTGACAGTTCGTCCAATTTTGATCTTGGCCTCTTCGCCTGCCCCTGTCACTGGAGTTTGTTATACTTCAGAAAAACTTCTCCAGTATTCCCTGGGTGCTCTCCAGGGGATCAATTCTTCACTCTTTTGCTTGAATCAGGTTGGTAATTAAGAAATTTGCTTGATTTTTGCTGATATTTTTCTGAGGAAGATAGACTACTTTTAGTATGTGTTTCTCTGATAGACTGAATGTGAGCTTCATCTACTCGATGGTGCCAGCTGTGCAGGAGTAATGCTGAAACCCTGCATCCTGTCTTGGAAGATTTTGCTTCTACTGGATCTTGTGTGATTTGATTGAGGGAGTCACCTGTTGAAGGTGTGCGGCAAATACTTCAGATGCTGCTCCTGCCTCTCAGTCAAGGAGCATCTGATGTCTCCTCCATTCTTGACTTGCACGAGAGGACAGTGTATTTGAGAAAGCAGATTTTGTTCCTGTCACACTGTGTTCCATCTTCAGAATCTTTGTCAATCAGCTTACTCTTACAAGTTTCAAATGTGGCTTCACTCAATAAGAACCTTATCCTTGCTCATCTCCTCTCTGTTGCCATCTCCCCTTTTTCCAAGTATAGTACATTTCCTTCTATTTCCCTTGGAGTTCTCCTTATATAGCTGCTTGTGTTTACAGGGAAATATATTTGTCCATTGCAGATGCATGCAAGGCTGGGTGTTCCAAGGTAACCCATCAGGACTGATTGTGAAGGATGAATGTGGTGACAAATCCAGGTTCCACAGCTTCTCAATTGCTGAACCCTGGAGAGAATCCATTCCAGAGGAACTTCGTGACCAGGTTGTCCGTGTTGGCAGGGACCTGCTGCTGCTGCATCTGTCTGGATCTCAGGTTGGTCCCTTGATGTCATCAAGCTATGAAGCAAGTATGTCTTATGAGATTTGGGTGAAAATAAAAATTGTTTTATTGGCTCCAGAACCCCTTGATCACAGGATTTGAGAGCAGATAATGTTACTTGCTATTAGGTCCTGGAATTTTAGTGCGAGTGAAAGCTATTGATTCAAGAATCCCTTAGCTCTGGAGAGTCATACTCGCTCTGATTATTTCATTCTGGTAAATGCATGATTTCATAATTGAACAGGCCTGCAGATGACAGTCTTTGAATCATTGCTTTGGACTCTCATGTATCCACTCATTTCTTCTCTCATTTTTGGTACCATAGATCTCTTGTGCAGCAAGCAGAATAGTACTGTCCATGGTTTTGCTCAGATATAGGTTTTTGTCATGTCAATCCTTTCACTGACATTGGCATAATGTTGTCAATGTGATAGGCATAATAATGTTTGGATATCCCGGCCAGGGAAAGGGTTAAGTGTCTTCAGTTGTATTGTTTTGATGATCTCGACAAGACTAGCAACAAGAAGTAGAAGCATTTGCTTGCTTCAGTTGAGTGATGAGCCAGGTTTGCCCTTGGTGGCAAAAAAAAAATAAATCCCCATTCCAAATATGAGTTCAAGTTTGAATTCCTTATGTAAAAAGTGCTGCATAAAATATGAATAACCCTTTTGCCATGTGTGTTGCTTCATGTAAATCATGCCAATTGATGACATGCCTCCAGCTTAGATTGCACCTGTGGTTGAGTTTGTTCCCTCCCACCCACTAGACTTTGTTCATCTGTAGGTGTTCCTTGAGTGCCTTACCTACCCTTCACCTCAAGATAGCACCAGATCTGCCTATCTCTCGAGCAAAGGAGCAGAATGAAAAAAAGAGGTTTACCCTGAAGTTGCAAGAAGATAGGAGAATGCCTCAGATGCCTCTGAAAAATTTGTTCTTTCAGAGTCTCCATCTTCCTCTTCATACACAGTAGGCATTCTCTCTTAGGAAATCATGTTCTATGGTGGCTTTATTTAGCTAATCCCATGATACTGCTTTTTCTCACTCCCAGAGAGAGATTGGTGAATCGTGCTGTCTGGATCCTCTTGAAGGGGAAGCTGCATCTCCTTGAGCACTTTGATGCTGTGCAGCATTTTTTCTTCCTTCACGATGAAGGTTATGCGCGATCCCTTGCTCTCCACTTCCTTGACTCGGTGAGTGATACCTGGAAGTGAAAGTAAAATATGGGAAGAAGGTACAGTTTTATCTTTGCCTAGTGGTTGGGGCATTGGTGGTGGATTGTTTTGTGCCAACCTCTTTAGTTTTCATTTGGATTTCGCACTGTTAATTAACCCCAACTCTCTACCCTACTGATCAGTGAGGCTTAGACTTTTACTGTGATTTAGCATCCTGATTGGTATCTCTGAAACACAGTGAAAGGACTACGTAATGCAGTTTATTTTTTATTTTTTTTCTTCTCAGCTTTGTATTTCACATCTTAAAATACTAATATTTCTTCTATATAAAATATAATATTACTTCTTGGTAGGGTAGAGGCACCAGTTTGTGGATGGGTGCCTATTTGTGGACAGTTTTGCATTTTTTGCCATTTCACGAAATTCATGCCAAAAATTTATTTGCTCAAATGCTCCATAGTTTGCACATTCTTGTCAGCCACCATGTAACTTATGCATACCATCAGGAGTGAACTTGGACATTTTCGCATATTTTTAGACTTAGTACCCCTGAATTCCATAATTTTTTCAATGATATTTCTTAATAGGAAATCAATGAAAATTAATAAAGTTGCTGTACATTTCTCATGCCCATATTTTTCTATTCGGTATATGCACATTCATAATTGTTGAAAAAAAACTGGTGTCCACAAACTAGGTCTATGGATGTCCACAAAGAGGAACCATGTGGAAATCAGCACATATTCATTAAAACAACTATTGTTGGAAAAGTATGTTTTAAATACTTTACTTTAGGGTATGGGGATCAAACTATGATAAGTGGCCTCCCATTGAAAACAATCAAACAGTTTCTCGATTACCCCAGCAACCGTAATGTAATTTTCAAGAGGAAAATTTTCTTAACCTGTCCACAAACTGGTGCCTTTACCCTATATGAAATTTATCCCTTTTTTCAATTCTGAACCATTCTCCACTCATTTCCTTTTCTTTCCAGCATCCTGTAGTAATACCATACTGTCAACCTACATTGACTTTAGTGCTATTTCTTATTTTCTTTTGAAACTTTTGAAATTGGTACTTTCATTGTTCTGGTATTGCTGCTTAATACAGTAGGTATGCTCACAGAATAAATTGAATAATAATTTGAGCATTTGTTCAAAGTGTTGACTTCTTATGCAGATGGAGAGGGTGGATGAGACACCACTGTCTACATATGAGTGTCACTTGGCACTGTCATCTGCCATTGAATCTTCCTTCCCTGCTCGTCACTCCTATGCTCAGAGTTTGCAATTGCGATTGGTGTCTTCCACATCAAGCACTCATCATCTTCCAACCACAGGTCAATCATTCACATCATGAATGAAAGTTGAAGCAAACCTTATACTCGTATCAATCATGAAGCCTTTTGTATGCCCAATGCAATTATCATATTCAAATGGAGATACACCATAGGAGAAGTTTGGCATTGTTTGGCAATGTGCATTGCCCATTTGTCTTTGGTTAACCAATACCTGAAAGCAAGAGTTTACTCATTGACCAACCATGATGCTACTGCTTTCTTCAGTTTGCTGCTACCTGGAAATCTGGCACTACAAAGGTTGGACTTGAGATTTCTGTATGAGAAATACAGTGAAAACTCGTTAACTCGAACTTTTAGGGACCGGGCAAATCGTTTCGAGTTATCCGAAGTTCGAGTTATCAGCAATCGCCCCCCCCNCAGCTGTAGTACAAGATCAGTGTAATAATGCCCTTGTGACTGTTTTTTTTTGTGCAGCAGAAAGTCCATCATCAGTGGCCCTTTGAGTCCAAGAAAATGTTGGTTATGACCCTGTAGAAGGCTGCATGTGAAACATCTTAGGTGGTGGATAACAATGTTGGTCCTATTGCATAGTCTTTTGCTTGCTCTCTGGGTTCTTGTGATGAATCCAGGTTTCATCACCAGTAATCTAGCAGGCATTAAGATCACCAAGATCAACTGGGTTTTAGTAGAACAAGATAAGAAGCTTGCTATGTAACATGTAATGATGAGCACATTGCTCTGCAAAAAGGCCTTGAGGCAACCAGTGTCCTGAAATCATTTGCATCCTCAAATGTTCATTGAGGATGGTAAAAGCACTTTCATGAGAAATCTCAAGTTTGAGATTGTGGAATCTTTATTCAACTGTTGTTGAGAGCCAGGGTTTCAGCCATTGCAACTTTGCTTTTCATTATTATCGGCCTATATTATATATTATAGGCCTATGACCTATCGTCTTCAGTCATCTTCAATGGACTTATGTTCCTGGATGAATCCATATTATAAGTTTTCAATTGTGTGATATGTAGAGGAACCCTCTCCCTACACAGGCAATTTTCATTTGTTTGTCCATTTGTTTGTACAGCTCTGCTTCCTTTCTTAGTCAAAAGTTTATTCACAGAGGATTGTTTAGTATCAGCCTCATTCATATTCAGCCATGTCACCTAAATTTCTATTGTCACCCAAAACAGGAAAAAAGCAGCTGGGTCATACTTATATAATTCACTAGGGTAAAAACATTCAGGAAATTATTCAAGAGACAGAGCAGAGTTCATGTGATCATAAGATTCATGTGATCATAAGAGTTCCCAATATTGAGTTCTATGAAGTTATTGAATGCCCTTATATATTACATAGCTATGTTTTGAAGTACAGTGTTAGTATTGTTCTGAATTGATCAATTTGAATCGACCCAGAAGTTTTCATCTCCATGGATTGTTTGCTGCAAATATTGGGCATGGTTGATTAGTAAACTTCCCAATGTTCATGGATAAGATTTTCCCTTTAGGATTGAAGGCACTTCATCAGATAACACCCTCTATCACTTTGCACATCATATCTTTATTGGGGTTTTTTCTCCCTCTCACCTGCAATCAGACTGGCTGCCTCACAGGTATACTCTCTACAGGTATGTCCATGCACCACTTAGCATTCCCAACCCACTTACTTCCTTTTTCTGTAGACGCCCTATGAATCACTGACTTCCTGCCCTTCACATAACATAAGATTAATTACTGGTAGACAAATACCAGATCCTTGTGCATCATCTTTCTGCCTTTTGTTTCAACCGCCAATTTATGCATGACCATGCAGATGAGTGACACATTGAAGTGATTTAGTCATTATTGTATTGAAGTTCCTTTAGGAATTGGAGCTTCTGCCAGCTTCTTGACTTGTGGTTTTCCTGGTATGGCCATCGGCTAATTTCTTTTCTTTTTGTGTGCTGTCGTGCATATTGTATCGTTTTCCTTGCAGTATTGAAGGAAGTATGTGGAGGGAGAGACGGCAGAGGAATCGGAAATTTGGTTGGCTCTTGATCTCAGTGGCTTATACACCCAGACCTGTGTCTCTTCCTGAATCCCAATGCCATTAAGAGTCTCGTGTTGGGTCTTTCAATTCCTGTTCATCTTTTACTGCTATTCTGAGGTGATTACGTTATTTCTGGTCACGGTAACCCTATCGGTATAAATAAGTCAGTGGGCCGAAGAGGATTATATGAGGGTGGATAAAAAAGTTACGGCCGATAATATTTTTCTCACCTTTCTTTCTATCTTCGACAAACTGCTTTTGAGGGTAGGTGCTTCCGTTTGTCACTGATGCTAGCATTAATTGATTTTATCGTTTGCCACGAGAGTTTGTTTATCATTTGGCACCGGAGAGATTAGAAAATGGCGCTACCATTGGAGACATGTACAAAAATTGAACTGCGATCTGTGATTCGTTTTCTGTGGTCGTGGTTTCAATGCCGCCGAAATTCACAGAAGAGTGAAGACCCAATATGTGTATGAATGAAGGCACGTGTATGAATGGACGGAAAGTGAGCGAGTGGCTGCAAACATTCCATGACGGTAGAAAAAGCGAAAGACAGTAAGAGACGGGGCAGACACAACACGTCTGCTATGAAGGCTGCAATCTCAGACAACAGACTTATACCGATTGCAACGATGACGACTACGAGGCACCTTTTTTCTGTAAATTTCGGGAGCGTTGAAACCCATGGACCATAGAAAAAGAATCACCTTTTGCCGTTCAAATTTGGTACTTGTTTGCAATGGTACCATTTTCTAATCTCTCGTGGCAAATATTAAAATTAATGCATGCTTTTCGTTAGGTGTCTTCCTTCACGTAGTTGGGGTTCTTGTCGTTAGAAAAATCGGGCTTTGGCATACACTAAAAGGCTCAACGGCCCAAAGTGTTCCTTCGTGCCATTCAAGTATTTCCATTTCGGCAGTCGAGACCTTCCCTTCTCGGTCTTTCGCGACCTTTGCCCGCCTCGTCGAAGCCTTCGAATGGTTTTCCCATTCGCACCTGGGGCAGTGCGTCAGTCGTGTTCCATTTCTCGGCTCGATTTCTTCAGCGCCTCTCCGTAGCGAGGCCTCGAAGGGTCCGACCTACTTGACATTTACGCTTTTTGCCAGGAAAAAATTTCGAATCTCTGAAAAGACGGGATGTTTTCGAATTTCTAAAATCTCAACCATCGTATACATTGTTTGTCAGAAAAAAAGAAAAATTCCATCGGCGCAAGTTCCTAGCTGGTGGACCGCACCTGATCCTTGCTGCAGATCTCATCGACATGCAAAAGTGGGCGAGTGAAAACAAGGGATCCAAGTTCATACTACTTACGATAGACGGTTTCTCTCGATTCGTCAGGGCATTTGCCCTCGAGGATAAGTCGAAAGAGGAGGTAGCAAATGCTATGGAGAGGATTTTTCGAGACATGCCCGGTTACAAA